TGCAAATAGGATCTGAGAATGTTAAGAACTGCCATAGAAAAGAGTTTAATTACTTTTGGTCATACAAGACAAAAGGGAATTTCTCAATATGGAAAGTAGAAAACAACCATCAAAATATGTGTGTACAAGAATGGAATCTAATTAGAATAAGTCATACTGCATGTATCTATAATATGTCAAAATACACGTTTTATATCTAAAAATTTTTTTTAAATGCATGTAGTTTTGAAAATAGAGGATAGTGTTTTCAGCTGCTCTTTGCCTAAATGTGCTTCATTGTATGTCAATGGCACAAAGAAAGATGAAAAAGTTGATACTTAAATGTATAGTAATAAGTCTCAACAACATGATTTCCACTGAGAGCTTTCCCCACACTCTAGGGCTGAACTAATTTCATTGTTGTTTCATTGACAGAGTTCATAGTTACCAAAGATAGATGTTCAAAGCAAAATTTTCAAAATAAAAGGATCTCTGAAAATCACTCTAAAACATGTATCTGTAGATCACATTTCACTTTAAATCTCTAGTTCTATATTTATTGCCATAACATATATATTAGGCTCAACATTAGAAATATGCTAAAATTTAGTACCTTATCCTATCTCCAAAAAACAGTCTCTATATGAATCAAGTAGCTAATACACGAGAATCACTTAAGGAACTACATAGAGTAATGTTAAGTAAATATTGCTTTTATTATAGTTTTTCATAAGTTGCTCAGCAGTATAGAAACATAATTGTGCTTTGGGGAAAACTATGCATTTGTCAGAGCACAGCCCTACAGGGGTTATCTGGGTCTGATCCTATGGGGGACTATGCTTTTTTATTGCTCTGGATACAACTCCTTAAATTGTAAATAACTGATAGGATTTCAAAATAAATTCCTATTAATATGTAAATAAATTTTGTCAGTTGGAGGTTCAACTGATTTCCCTTGCCCACTTTGAAAGAAGCAGGATTTTAAAAATATGTATGTTCTTTTCAAAAGTGCATTAAAATCATTCTGATCTAAATATATGTCTGTTCTTTAGATTCTCTATGAACTGATTATTAACACCTTACTGATTTTTTCCCTAATGAATTAAATATGAAATCTTAAACAGCTTCAGTTAATACCTATATAAAATAATTTTAATTCCCTGAAAATTGTCCTTTAAGACAAGTTTATTTTTAAAAACATAAATGTCCTCTTATATATCATGTAAAATAAATAAAATATTAATTATAAAATAAGAGTGTTTTCTCATTAACTAATGATTGAACTTACTTTTGTGAATTGATTTTATTTCTTTTTTTAATTTCTTTTATTAGTCTTTGGATGACTTTTGAAATGTAAACTGTTCCTTATTTGTGTTTTTGTGCTAGTATGCTTTTTTCTTGGATGAATTAAATTCAATACATTTGAATTTTTAATCTACTTAGAGATAAGGTAGCTTGTTTTGATGGTTTTCATTGTATAACATTTATCTAATTATCAACATTAAAATGAATAAGTATATTTTATCTCCTTCAATATAAAAGGAAAAATTTAGCACCTACGTCTTTTATTACAATTTCTATTTCTTCTACCATTTTTCTAGGTTTTGTGTATAAAATATCACATTTTGACAAAATCATTTTTAATATTTTATAATACATGATCTTTTCAATATGAATTACAGTTTTATTTTAAATTCAAATTTAACACATGTATTTAAGCAATTATATGACTAGTTTCAATATGTACTGATATTCTGGGAAAACATCTTTTTTTTTTTTCTCAACCACAATGTCACTTCCCCAACTGAGGCCCTTTTTATTTTTTATTTTAAAGCAGGGCCTCAGTTGCTAAGGCTGTCTTTGAAATTGTGATCCTCCTGCCTCAGCCTCCCAAACTGCTGGGATCACGGGCATGTACCACCAGGCCTAGCTTGACATTCTGATTATATAATGGTTCATTCTTTCTTCAATTAATTATTTTTAGTACCTTTTAAGATTGTCAGAGGATATATTCAAGTACTTTTTCAAACGGGGGTACTTGAATAAAGTATTTTAAATTAAATTAGTTTTAAGAAACAGAATGCACAAAAGGACAATGTCCAAACTATGTATGACCATACAACTGACCTGCAACTGTGACCCACAACCTCTACAGCAATTATTCCTAGAGGCCAAAACACAACTCCTGCACAATCTACTCATAACAGAAGGAAATTGGCCAGAGACTTCTAACTACCCTATTTTGTGCTCATCTAGCCTTCCAACTAAACTCAAATAAACTTCCTAAACAAATCATAATAAATACCATAATTTTACTTTACCTTCAACCTGCCCTCAAATAATAGCATACATGAAAACTCCTTCCCAACAATACAATAAAACTTTCCCACTTCTCTGTCTACCCTTGAGCCTTTCAATCAAAGTGATCCTGATTTTTTTCATTATTCGTACAATGTGAAATGACTAAGTCAGAAACATTTGCTGAAACTAGGGAGATAATATTTCAATTACTTCTGAAATTTAGTGTTGATTTTTCATTTTTGGTTTAAAAAATTGGTATTTCATAGCATAATATACAAAGCTTCCAGCTTATGGTAAAAAAATTCACTTATTATAAAGAGCCAAAAAGAATTCAATTTGAGTGGAAAAGAAATTAAAACATCTTGTGAATCCATTTCACTATGCATTGATTACACATTCACTGTATCTGGGTTACAATTTCTACTACTTACAGAACTTCAGTGAAACCAAACTCATACATACAAAAATTATATGAAACAGCTTTATCAATGCAAGGACAGATGGACAACAAGATACAATAGAAATGTAAGATTCATGACAAGCCAATCCCTTAAAGTTCAGGAAAGATGCTTATGTGGATGTAGTCTCCATTGCAAACCACCAACACCATGGCTGAGCAACCTCAGAAAGCAGTTCAGCCTGGATTATATATAATAGAGGTTAACAGAATCACGGAGCTAGAGTATTGAAGGATATTCTATTTCTGGGGAGGATAGAAACAGTGTCCCGGCTGTTCTGGTCAGTTACTCCTTTTCTTAGGAAACTGCATTCCCAGAACATTCTTAAGTTATTGTTTAGAACTACATGTAAAAAATGGGGGAGAAAATGGTAGATCAAGTTTGCTCAGAGAACTGTGCTGCATATTCCACTACTTGCAGAGGGATAATAGGGAATCATATGAACAATCTGGCTTTGATATTACTATAAAGACAAAGAAAATACTTGAAGCCAGAGTGGGAGGGAAAGGGAGATTAAACGAGGAAGAGAGATGGAAGAAGTGGAGAAAAATAAACTTTCCTGCAGAAGAAAATAATTTAAATGGTAGCATATTTCTCATGAAGGTCAGATGCAAGTGGCACAACACTTTTTCAAGTGCTGAAAGAAAAGAAAGGCCAACTCAGAAATACATCCATCTGGATAAATGTCTAGGGTATTATGCTAAGTGAAAATAACAACCTCTAAAATTTAAGTGTATTATGCCATTTATATAAAAATCTTGAAGTGACAAATTCTTATATCATTTATATAGTAATATATATTCATTAATATATAAAATATTATTAATACATATGTAATATATTTATATTAGAGAAATTAAGAACAAATGATAGTTGCAGGACTTCAAGATGAGGATGGGGGTAGGTTTCTATAAAAGAGCATCAAGAGGGATCCTGATGGTGTCAGAAATCTATACCTTGTCTGTATCAATGCTAATATCCTTATTATTATATTTCACTATAGTTTTGCAATGCATTATTATTGGGAAAGACTGAGTAAAGGGTAAATGGGATCTGTGTACTATTCTAACAACTGCAAGAGAACCTAAAATTGTCTCAAATTTAATTTAACAGATCATAATGAAGCCTTGCTTGCATGTATTTTATCCTGTTATTAACAAACATAAATACAGATTAAAAACCCTAAGTATAAAAAATACTAAAAGATGGGTTCAATTCCAGACCAGTTATAACATGGTCTCTGTAAGTGAGGCTTTTGTTGTTTGACTTGTTAGTTGATACTCTACTTATTTTACTTTATATTATAGGCAATTTTAGATACAATAATTAAACCAACACAACTCTTCAACAGTAAGTAATATTTTGCTTGTCTTGTTATATTTGAATCATCTACAATGTTTTCTTGATGATTTGCTCTCCATTTCTTTCTTTATCCTTTATATTAGATCATTTAAAATTTCTCTTCCTTTGTTAGTAAATTATTTCAAATTAAATCATATATGTTTTCATTTTTATTAATACTTCAGTACATATTTTGGATGAATGCACCTTGTGTTTTTTATATAACTTCCAATGCTGTTATGACACCTAGAAAAATAAACAGTAATGCCACAGTATCACAAAAATTATAAAATATCCATCCACACTCTAGTGTTTCCATGTTTTTCAGAGAATTTTTTTAAAAACTCACTGATTTAATCAAATGAGTATTTAAATGAAATTCACATATCCACAGACAAAGATTATGATTAAATTTTTCTTTAAATTTAAATCAATTTATTTATTTGAATTGGGAAAAAAATTAAATTTATACACTGTAATTGATTAATGTTTTCTCTTCCTTTTTTCTTTTGTTTTTGATTAACCTGTTAATTTACATATTAATGAGATTCAATATAAAATTCAATATGTGTGCACAGACTGATCAAATCCAGTCTTCTTTTATTCATCCTCTCTCACCCACTTTCTAATCTAATCATTATTCAGGACTACTGTGTGTGTGTGTGTGTATGTGTGTGTGTTTAACTTCTACCTCTGAGAGAAAACATATGGTACTTGTCACTCTGTGTTTTTGTGCCTTGTTTCTCATGAAATAGTATCTTCCATTTTATTCATTTTGCTTCAAATGACAGGATTTCAGTCATCTTTGTGGCTGACAAATATTCCGTTGTGTACATACATTGCATTTTCTGTACCCATTCATCCATAGATGAATACTTTACTTAGCTATCACAGACAGTACCACAATAAAGATGGTCATAGATGTATAGTTATCTCTGATATGCTGATTTCCTTTCCTTTGAATATATACCCATGATAGGATAGCTAGGACATATAGTAGGTCTATTTATTTATTTTTTAAGTATCCTCCATATTATTCTCCATGATGGTGGTTATAATTTACATTCCCACCAACAGTGTGTGAGAGATCTTTTTTCTTTAACCTCATTAGTATTTATTATTATTACTTTATTTTTATGACGGCCATTCTAAATGATGGGAGATGATATCTCAATTTAGTTTTGCTTTGTTGTCATTTAACAGTTATCTCTCTTAGAATTTTTGAAGAAATGGTTGACAGACCTGATTAAAAAAAAAAATAGTATTTAGTATTTTTGTTTGTTTTCTTTATTTGGCAATACATCTTCAGTACTGTTGTGCATATCTATAAGAAGTCATATAATGTAGTTGTTTTGTTTTGTGTAATATTAGCAAAGGAAAAAAAATCTTGTCAATTTGCACTAAAATAAGCTTGAAATAATAGCATTTATTTATTATTATAAATAATTTATTAATCATTTATTAATTGCTAGGTATTTGAAAGAAATATCTTTCTTTTTTCATTACTTGTTTACTCTAAAATAATAATAGTAACTTTAATTTGTTAAAAAAAATCTATATATTATTTTATATATTATTTTCTGGATTAAAAGAATTGATTTCCTGAATTTGCCTAATTATATTGTTTTGTTTGGTTGGTTTTGAGTGCCAGTATGCCTTGATAGGTAACAGATAGATAAGAGCACTGGGAGCATGATGTTAAGGGGATAATTCTATAAATTGGGACTACTGTGCTCACTCCTACATGGTTTATTTTAAAAAGCAATTTATCTGCAGTGCTCCCTGGCTTAATTCAATAAGCCAGGGTTTGTTACATTCCTTAATAAACAAGGCATTTTCTTCAAGAGAAATGAAGGTCCAAAATGCTGATAAGAAAAACACGAGTTACCCTGGATGTGGGGGACTTTTGTTACCCTTACACAGATTCCAGAATTTAGTGACATATGAATAATCCTCCCTAATGGTAAACTCTGTAGGAATGAATTCCAATTAAAGCCTGCCATCAGGGATTAGTGACCTTGTGTTACCCTGGGTATTTGCCATACACAGTGGGGACTTGGAAGCCTGATGCAATCCTGCTATTTGTCAAAAAGCAAGAGAGGGACTTGGATGGGACTCACTGGAAACATTTCTTATACCCCCCAATAAACTGGAAGACAGAAGTAGTGTTCTATCTTTCTATGAGAGAACCTACTCTCCCCCTTGAGGGTATCCCCTTTTCCCTTTTTTATATTCTTTCTAATAACATTATGCCTGGTACTCTGAGAGACATTTCTGAAATCTTTCTGACTTTATCACAAGAATCAATGAGAAACGGTTGTCATGGATCCCTCATCTCTACAGTAGTCCCTGGCCCTATAACTTTTGGTGTTCCTGGCCTGGTTTTATTTGCTTATTTTGAACACTCTTTATTCTACACCTTATTTTCTAAGTGACTGGAGGATACATTGGGGAACAGTTGAAAGTTCCTGGTGAGGGAAAACCCTGGTGAAATTGAAAGGTGTTCTCAGTTGGCATCTGGTCACTTCTGGACCTTATTGGGCAGGAGCCAGGGTCTTTATTTTTAAGTCTTTTTGGAAAACAGATATTTCCCACTGGTAAATGTGAATTCTTGTATGGTAACATAATACGTTGTCCTAAAGTCCAAGATAAAAAACTTAGACAGAAAAAACTAAGGATACAAGCAAATTGTAGAGTGCCTTAATAAATTACAGAAGATTTGTGGAATGTACATCTCAGAAAGGTTGCATATGTGATTAAGTTGGCTACAATAAACACAGTCAAAATCATTTAAGAGTTTTTTTTAAGGTTAAAATTCAATATTCTGATATAAAATCAGAATGTAATTCTCTGTATGTTTCAACAACAAGGGTTTCTTAAAACACTGATCCGCTATTAGTTACGAAGATAATTTGTTTTATCATTTTGGATTTTATTATTTAGGAAAACTAAGCCTTAAAAAATAGGGTTTATTTAAATGCCTGTTTTAAAATCTTTTAAATTATTATAACTAAAAAATAAATAATCATTGTTTTAAGTTGTTAGAGTACATTTGATATCCTAAATATATATCATTAGAGATGTATATATCTGAACACTAAATGTTTGTCTGGCTTTGTCTAAATGTCATATCAAAGTTTATATAATAAAAGCTATGTAGATTTAATATAGGCAAGATAACCAGTAAGTGCTCCTTTTTTTACACATTGTATTGGACATGAAATGGCCACACTGATGTTCAAAATCCTGGCTTACATCTATGTGCTTTGACTAAAAAAGTGTTTTATTTTTATATAAATGAGATATATTTGTACAGCAGATAATAAGCTTATTTCTTAATATTAGGACTGTTTCTTAAATTTATAAGAGATTTAAAACTAATATCCAAATCATGGGGATTATGAGAACTCTAGAAAAAGGAAGCCAGTCAGTATACATTCTGAAAATAAGAAAGGTCATTAGAGTGAGAAATATCCCTAATGCTTCCAAGGGAAGCCACAGTGGTCAGCAACACCCTGACCTATTCTGACAGTTGGCACAACTGATAGAAGAAAAAGTTAAAAGATCCAAGACTCTTCTCATATGTAACTTCTGAGAGTCATGTTTCCCTTAACAATCTAAAGGAAAGGTGTTAATTTTTGACTAGTGTAGGAGTTAGCTATTTGGTGTTCAACATCTGGCAGGAAAGTATAACCAAAGCATAGTCACACATGAGCATTTGAAAGGAGAGACAATGAGATGTACACTTCTGTCAGTCCTACCAAACCAGAAAGATTAAAAGAGAGATTTTCTTAATGCAGGAATGCCTGATAATAACTATCACAAGACTCTGCCAGAATCAGTTTATCCTGAGTCAAATTGAGGCTGTTCTTACAGACCTACAAATATTCCTAACCTCTTACATAGGTGGATTCAATCTGTTTTGTGCAGGTCTGGTTACCTAGCCCCAACAATTATCCCTCAGGTTTGTCTAAGGTAGCTTTATTTGGTAAATAACTTTACCAAAAGAGCCCTGAATAACACAATGACACAGCTAAAGAAATCCCTTTACTAAGCACAGAGGTAACACTGAAGAAGAGGCTATTTTACAGATGTCAGATGGCTTAAGATGGCATTAAATGGGGCTGGGGATGTGGCTCATGTGGTAGTGCGCTCACCTGGCATGCGTGTGGCCCAGGTTCGATCCTCAGCACCACATACAAACAAGATGTTGTGTCTGCCAAGAACTAAAAATAAATAAATAAATAAATATCAAAAATTCTCTCTCTCTTTCTCTTTAAAAAAAAAAAAGATGGCATTAAATATCTTAATTGTAGCTCAAGGGGAGAACCTGCATGTGTGTGAGTGTGTGTGTTATATATGGTTATTTTAGCAATTAAATGTATTTGTGTAACTTTTCTTTTACAAAATGATTACTTTTATAAAATTTAATTTTCTTATAAAAATAGTTGTGTGATTTCAAAAATAAATTTATAAAATGTAGCACATTATAAACTCTAGATCATATTTTAATAGGCTTTGTTAAATACTTTTATATACACTGAGCACAACAGTTTTCAAAATGAACTTCTACTCAGATACCTCCAAGGAAAATTTATATGGGTAAAGAGAAACTATTTTCTTACAAAAGACTCTTTTAAAGAACATATAATGTTCTTCAATGGATCTTATCAAGTGTGTGAAGCAGAAATTGTAATGATTCTTTCAAAGCTACATTAACTCAATGAAGAAAATTTATACTTTACCAGTGAATCTCATTATTAATTTTGACTAATTTCATCTTTTTCTTTGATTGTATTATGATTTAAGTATTTACTTCAAATGTAACAGGATTCCAACTAATATAATTTTGGGTTAGTTATTGCTCTATTCTGAATGCTTGAATATTTTAAGTCTAAATATACTCCTTTCTTCTACAGGAAAAAAAAGTTTTTTCTTTAAAAACAGAGAACCATTGTTTAGGATTTATTGGGGATATATGTCTGGAAGAATCAGATGAAATTCTCCTGATATCACTATTTATAAGTAATAAAATTAATAAAATTTGGAATTAATTATAGATTATCATATTTTACAATTTTTTTAAAAGAGCTGATATTTTCAAGTTTGTAAGTATTTTCATTTTTTAAAAAATCTAAACAGTTGAAGATTAAACTAATTTTATTTTGTATTTGAACAAGAGAGATATACAGAATAGGGACAGAGCTCCTCTTTCTCAGAGTTATAAATACTCCTCCTGACACCATAATATTTTTCCATAACATTAAGTTAAAGCACAAACAGCCCTGAAGACCTGAAATATTTTAAGTTTTAATAAAATTAATTTAATATTTAAATATTTAATCTAGTTTTAATAAAATTAATTTAATATTTAATATTTAATTTAATATTTAAATATCTTAAATATTAATTATTTGTAGAAAGTATAGAGTACTTTTACCTGATTCAGATTTCCCATTTAGGCAACATGAAAATATGAAGAGAAATAAATTCAACATCTTACTGGACAATTACATACTCAATTTAATAGAAAGGTAAACATCACGTGAGACAAACAATATTGAACATTCCAAACTCTTGTAAAGTTCTGTATTTTCTGATAAATATGATTTAAAATTTCCTCCTGAATAAAAACTATTTATTGGAAAGCTAGAAAAGTAGAACCACATTAGAATAAGAATCTAACGTTTATGTAGAGGTACTTATAATAGATTTTAATTACTGAAAAATAAGAAATGATCCCATGATAAGCATTGCAATGATACTTTACATTATTGCTTAATTTATCAGTATAATTGAATAAAACATAATTCTGGCTATTCTTATTATGTGAGTCTCCTTTCAAGGTTACATGGCTTACTATGCATCTGTAAAACTGAATGCCAGAGACTTTTGGAAACTGCACATACATGAAATAATTTTTCATAAAAATTTTGTACATGTATACATAAACAATTAATTGAATAAAAACTTTTATTTATGTATTTGTCAGGTCATAAAACATCCAAAAATGATGACTTGAAATGACTAGACATCAGGGGTTTTTAATATAACTTATTATTCTATTCATTAGGTAAAGCAGAGATATAAATAATTATTTTATAGTAAACCATAATCTGCTGCTAATAAAAAATAAGGATTTCTTTGACATATTTCTAATTTGAATAATATCAGGAAAAGCTCACATTTATCACAAAGCTGAATATTTATTTTGTTTTATGATTTAGAAATATAACTTGAATTATTTTTTACTTATTTGTAAATAAACTTTTAGATGGGGATATAGATATCTTTTAGGTTATAAAAAAATGGCATCATGCACTGAGAACATGACCTTAATAAAAAAGTTTCACCACATGATTCTCTGAAGAAGTTTGGATACTGACGGATGACACTCTCCCTGGGTTCAGCCTGTTCACCATCTCAAAGGGATCGGAGTTGGCATTTAGCTGAATTTGGAGCAAGAATAGACAGACTGCTATGCTGCTGTTCTGTTCAACAGCCTCATCACAAAGGACAGGTTCAACCTGGTGCAGGGTTTTGTGCTTGTCAGAATAGAAACCTACAAAAACATAGACAAATGTCATCATGAAAGCAGATATAGAACCTGTAACCTTCATAAACAGGGCTTTGGAAAGAAGAAGTCACAGGTTATTGCCTTTTGACATCTCCCCACAAATTGGCCATGAAAGCTGTTTCCATGGTGATTTTACATCAAGCCATGACCTCTAATTCTCTTAGCTTTCTAGATTCATCATTCTATTTGATACAACCTTCAAGATACATGTTATTATGCATAATGTGATATTTGGTTGACAGGATTTTATTAAACTCATTTTGATTATCCCTGCTAAAGAAGTGGGGGCCACAAATAGCTTGGTTGATTTTAATGTAAAAAATAAAAAGACTAAAACTAAAGTTGGCCAATGGTTTCAGGCTTATCTCCATGCAAAATTGCTGTGAGACCTAGATTACTTCAAAGTAACCTATCTGGAATCAGGTCCCTGTTTCATTAATAATATGGTTTTGTATGTAACATCTATGCAGGTCTTCCAGATCAAACATTACAAAATCTTATAATTTTTAAATAGCTTGTTTTCACTAGTAGTTCTTAAGTACATGTTTGTTGGCTTAAATTCCCTTGAAAACAACTTAATATGATGAAATATTTGACAACAATAGTCACTAAATTAACAGCAACTTTGACACTAAAATTATAACAAAGATAGACCATAACATAGAAGGATATATTGATTTAAACCCCATCATCATGTGTGTGTCTGAAAAAGTTGAAAGCTAATCAAATGCAGTTTTAATATGAAGAAATGTGTCTAAGGCCAAAGCTAAAATAATAACACAGTGAATAAAATAATCAAAATGGAAATAAAACAACAATTAGATAACCACAAAATAGTATCATTTCTGACAATGTGAAAATGATGACCTAGTATAATCACAGTATTAAACCTAGGATAATAGAGTTCAGAAAGTCATTTTGCAGAGTTTTAGAGAGTAGAGATTTGCATATTTTATTTGAAATTGAAGCATAGAATTGAATTGTATGAGTTCATTTACTTGCTTGTACTTTCTGATATAATGTTCCCTTACAAACCATTTCACACCATTAATTACACATTTTTTTTTTCTTTTTGCAGCAGCACCAGCAGAAAAATAAAACCTAAAATAATTACAGAATTTGAACAATGGAAAGAGGAAAATTCTAGTGAGATAATTTCTTGGATCTTGTTGGGTAAATGGGAGGAAAATAGAAGTTGATTAAGAATGATAACAACTTCTACTCTACATTCATTATAAGGTGTTTTACTTATTGTTTTCAGTGGTGCTGGGGAATCAAGTTCAGTCTTCTGCATACTGTGAGTGTGCTCTACCACTGAACTTTATCCTAAGCCAAAGAAGTTGTTTTAAATCATGTCAGTAAGCTTCTGACTAAAATGTTAGCCAGGATTGCGATATCTATCATCTTACATCTTGCATGCTAAGAAATGTAATCTCAGAGTGGATCTTCTTATTCACATAAACTTTACTGAATTGTGCAACAAACTTTATTTCCCCCAAAAGCAAACATTTTGGAAAATGTGGCTGGTGTTGGCTGATGTCACCCCAAAATTGAGTAGGTAATTCCATCCATTTGACTCAGCTGGAAAGAAATCTCTGTTCCACTGCCTATTCTTGCTTGACATGTAACACTTATTAGGAAATCCAAAGGAGCCAAGGTTTTGTTTTCCTTTTCCTTTTTGTTTTCATTTCATAAAATGTTATGGAGTGGTGATACTATTCAAACTCTAATGTGCATATGAATTTTCTGTAGATCTTCCTAAAGTGCAGATGATTAAGTAGATCTGAAATATTGCCTGTTACTCCATAGTTTTATCAAGCTCCCAGGTGATGCCAATACCAAAAATTGAGAGTCAGGAAATGACTGTAAGCACCTATTAGGATTCCAGTTCCTGGTTAGGGACAGCAAAAAAACAGAGGTAATTACTTAAAGAGTAAATAAGCTGGACAAAATTTTGGTATTTTAGATGGTAGGTGAAAAAAATATTAATGAAAGATTTTTTTAATGGAAAACAAATGATTAACTTTTCTAGCTTCCAGAAGAAAATGAACATGAAATTAAATTACAAGTCAAATACCAACAAAAACTACAACAATGGAAATATTAATAATATGCCTTGTGTGTATACAGGGCAAAGATAATTACTACACAAGTATTGCTGTATGTGAGCCCCTGTAGGCTGAGAATGGATGAGACTTTTCCCGCTAGCAGTTTAGATTTTAGGAAGGCACATAAACTAAGCAAACAAACAAACACAATACAAAAATCCAACAGTATTGTAGAAACCCTTTTGCTTTTCTTTCTGATGATTGTTAGCTCAGGTTTCAATACAAAGACAAGTTTTACCTCAAACTCTATGCAGAGATAGCTGTGGTGTCTCATCTCAGATTCCATAGGCAAAAATGAAAGGGGACCACATCAACTGAATAAATGATTGATAAGTGTCTTGTATCTTGTTTACTATGTGATATATATATATACATATATATGTATAATATATATACATACAATTATATACAATATATACTATATTATATTAAATATATTATATATGTTATATATGTGTGTGTGTGTGTGTATATATATATATATATATGCTGAAGAATTTCCTAGTATATTTCTAACATCCTCTTTGATAACAACCTTGACCTAGAATAATCACATGCAAAAATAATATATCAGAGTATCATAATATTGTCCAGAATAAATCTGTCTGGCTGTGCCTATGTCTTCAGGAATCCATATAACTTTCTTTAAAACTCATTTGGTTTGGAAATTTTAAAAAATAGATACATGATGATAATTCATGAGTTACATTTTGTGCATGATATTATTACTGAATGTACTTTTTTACAATATCATTACCTATGAAATGAGAAGATTTTTTTGAAGGAAAATATTTTTACTTTAAATAAGCATTTTAGAGAGGCATTTAATCCTGGTAACTGTAATTTGTTGTCTCATATATATGCTGCAGTATATGGACAGATTATTTTTGTCATGTTGGTAAGTAACATAGCATGTGATATGTTACATGACCAGGTGATATTATTGTATGACACAAAAGTCATATAATCTATTTCCTCAATCCACCATGTGTGTATGGGCTGTCAAGGTGAATAAATGAACAGTAACAACACACAGATTTCATATACACTTCTTGAAAAGTTTCTTCACAGAAGAAAAACTATTTCTCATCTATTTAATATTAACTTTAAAAAGATTCATATGGTCTATATTGATTAACTTTTATCATTTACATTTCTCTAAAATTTTATTTTTAAACCTTAAAGTTGCAGTAAAATCTTGTCCCCCCCCCTTTTTTTGCATTTGTCAATATTAGTTTCCACTAATAGAATTTTTAAAAAATACAAAATGACAAATAATTAGCAAAAATAACTTCAAGTTATATAGCTTTTAAATTCATCCAACACATTTTAATTGACTGTAGGAAAATATTTTAAACTATTTCTTTTATTCCTTTTTACACAGAAACAAGAAAAAAATCCTAACACTGTATTCATGTTACCACAACAAATAAGCATTAGGCACTAAAAGCAGATTTTGTGGTACAAGCCTGCCATCTACTGACTATATAGGAACAAAGACCTCTTCAAGGATAAGAAGGGATGAACTGCTTTATAATCCCTGTTTAAATTTAGATGGTATAAATTAATTTTCTATATTTGACCAGTTTTCAATTCATAATTAAAAAACTTCCTTTAGCTCAGTAGTATAAGAAGGTAGATTAGTATTCTAGCAAGAAGTTACCTAAAGACAATATTTGTAGCACATTCAAATACTGTTTTAATCAGATTCATAATCACTAGTGCTGCACTAAATCATTCTTGAGGAAATGTGGCCCCTGAGAATAAATAATTTGAAGTTTCTTAACTATATTATAATCTGCTCTGAAAAAACTTGTAATAAATATTATGAAATTTCAAGTTTATATAAAGGTGAAGCTGATGCGTTCTCTGTTACGAAAAAAACCTGGAAAACACAATGAGGCATAGTAGACAAAACATGAATTACTAGTATTTATGATAATAAATCATTTTGTTTAAAAAGAATGAGAAAAATAAATAAATAAATAAAGAGAATGAGAATATAATTTATTGGAAAATCACAGATCCCTGTGCCTATTGATATCATTATATTTATACAAAATTTTCAGTTTTTTTTAAAAATTAAAGTAGATGTACCATTTATTTCTGTTAACATCTATCTAAGTATACTTGTATATGCACAGAAATTGTATCTTAATATATATTCTCTAAATTATAAATTGTGTTATTGTTAGGATGTGTAAGAGGAAGAAACATTCCTATATTTATATTTGATTCATTCATTTATGAATTTAAAAAATTAATAAATTAAATATCATATGTCCAAACATAACATACTTTATTTCCTTCTGTACATTAAATTTAATAGATAATTATATTTTATTAGATATTCATCTATATTTATCAAGCATTTTATTCAAAATGGAATTTTGAATTGTGTAACCATAAAAACTAGTTATGGTTACACATTTTTTTTCTTTTTTTAAAAAATAACAATCAAAGATGATAGCATTTCTTTAAAAGTGCATGTAAATGCTAAAAGTAAGGAAACACAACTATCTTTCCCAAATGTTTAAGCAGATTTTCAAGTTATCTAACAAGTCAACAAGTCAAAGATCGAAAATCAATGAAATGTCAAGCTTTGACAATTCTTGATCATTCTTTATGATCAAGAACTATACTAAAGAACTTCAAGATAGTCTTTGATATTAAAAATTATGAATGTTAAGAGTTTTCATTTTTATTAAGTTTTTATGTTGATGGTAAATGAGTAATGTAGGAGTTGAGCCATGAATAAAAAAAATGAAAAAAATAAGAATTATAGGACTTAATAACTAGCAATCAGGACCCTAGTTCAATAAGATATATAAATATGATCTGTATACTAAGAAATACCTAATTTCATTTTCTATTTATTTTGCATATTATAATTTTCTTTCACTTAATGAGATACTTTCTAGTCTTGCAAATAAGTAATAAGTCAGCT